AACCCGTCAATTACTAAGGATATCTTGCGGCCAGAGATAAAGTCAGCCACCCATCTGCAAAGCTTTTCTAGGAGGCCATAGGATGGAAGTTTGCTTAAGAGGGCAGCGTGCCACAGCTGATCGAACGCTTTCGTGATGTCAAGAGCAACGACATGAGCCTCACCATAAAACTGGATGAGTTTACTTCACAATTGCGTGACGTAAGCTAGGAGGTCTCCTGTGGATCGTTGGTGCCGGAAACCATACTGCCTGTCGCTAATCAAGCTGTGGCGTTCGAGGTAGTCCAGAAGCTCGCGATTTAAGCACCTCTTAATCACCTTATTTATAACAGAAAGCAGAGCTATAGGCCTGTAGTTGTAAGGGTCGGTCTTAGATCCTTTTTTTGGGATGGGTTGGACAAGAGCAAATTTCCAGTTTTCTGGGAAGGTGCTGGATTCATAAGATATCTGGAAGAGACACGAAAGAACTGGACCAAGCTCCGCTACACACCCCTTCAGTACAATGGTAGGAATCACGTCCGGACCAGAAGCTTTGCTGATCTCGAGCGACAAGAGCACTCGCCTTGCGGTCTTATGCCTGATTGTTACCTCCCGCATAGTGTAGGGAACTCTTTGAATTGAGGGCACTTAGGCGTCGGGGGGACGTCCATGGTGCAGTTGGCAGTAAAGATCTTGGCTAGCACTTCCGCCTTGGCCTTTGAGTCGAATACAATAGTTCCATCCTGACACGTAAGTGGTGGAAGGCTACTGTGTGAGAAGTTCTTTTCAATCTGCTTGGCCAGCGTCCAGAAAGACCGACTGACATTGCGCTGCGACATTACCCTGTGCCTAAATTTTATATCGTGCTGGTTTTTGGCATTGCGAACCGCTACGTTATATTTGTTTCTGGACTCGACGCCGGCTTGTCTGTTCTCTACAGTGGGGTTTTGTAAGCAGGTTCTGTGTGCCTTGATCTTCTGCTGGCGAGCAGTGTCACTCGATTTGTTAAACCAGCCATTGAACCCTGGTTTAGACACTTTCACTGTGTGAGGGATGTATTCCTCCATTCCGACGTGGATAATTTCTGTTATCGAAGAACAGACAGCCGACGCACCCGCGTCAGTGGAACAGACATCTCTAAAATGAAAGTTAGAGAAGAAGTCTCTGAGCCCCTCCCAGGTCGGCATGTCCGTAATGTCAAGTTTTGCGGCCTGTACGAGTTTCTGCTGCCACAGCGGGTTGTGACCGAAACCTAACCTCCACAACACCGTGGTCTGAGTTACCCAAGGGGGACAGGACAGCAGTGCTGTAAGGGACAGGATGCGTGGTCAGAAAGAGATCCAGCAGGCTAATGAGGTGTGACGAAACGCGGGGGAAAAAGTAGGGCTCGTCACCAGCTGGGTCAGCCGTTGAGTAGGAGCGAGCACTTAGACTGCACGACCTGCTGCATTGGTCTTGTTTGAGCCCAACCAAAGCTCATTATGGGCATTAAAATCACCGATAAGAACTACCTCTGCAGCGGGTTGATTGATGTTCAGGAAGTCGATCTGAAGATTTATTGAAAATGGAATACCTTAACTAACACCTCGCCAAATCCAGATTCACCTCATTCCCTCAGCCCCCCTACCCCCAAAAATTATTCGGAAAACGATTAGGAAGCTCTAAAATATTCAGAAATACTTAAAACGATTTTTAGTTTTGTCGTTGTTCAATACTAGCTCCGCCGCCCGTAAACCCCGCCACCAAAATTTACAGCCCTAAAATGTTCTTGGAGGAATGTCTGAAACATCCGGAAGCGAAGTTTGACCATTTTTTTCTTCGTTTGTTAACCACTCTGCTGTTACTCCACCGATGTCCTAGAATATTCAAGGTTCTTTGTGCATGGCATAACAGCAGCCTAAACCAGATTTTTTATGATTACAATAATTCCTGTCAATAGACGCGGTAAGTAAAGGCATCTGTCTTAAATCGTAAAACAAAAATAACATCTTTCATTTTATTCCATAGAATATTGGATTTGAGCATTACATTCGAACAAATGTCATCGCTGCATTACGGTACTCCCGGTCACGGCCGCTGGTGTGTAATACTTGACGGCGAACTGGGCCGTAGCACACATAGGAAGATGATAATCCAATCCTCTCGCAAAACAATTCTAACAAATGCCTAATACAGCGATGCCAATATTAAGGAGGACCTAAAAGCCACGATCTAGATACTGAATACCCGGCAGATGACCTATCCACTGTAGACTTGATTGAAAATATACGGGCTGAATACCTGCGCGACTGTGAGTCCACCAAATCGGCGCAGCAAAGCCCGGAACTACGGTACCCAAATTTAACAAAAAAACACGATCTGGGTCATCCCTCTGGAATTTTGCCGGGTGACAAAGGGGAGCCCCTCAGGCCGACTGGTGAAATTTGCTATAGGTCCTCCATATACGGAGGACCTATCGACTCTAAATAGCCAGTGAGTGGAGGACCTAACTATCGGAATCTGTATATACATATATATCTTAAATCATTAGATTTAGAAATAACTTTTTAAAAAAATTTATTTGAGGACTGAGGCTTCAGTCCATACAAAATACAAGGGTTTACAAATGTGACATTTACGGAGTCTAACCGGGTATTGAACAACAAAGTTTATATAAGTGACAGTTACGGTGCCTAGCCGGGTATTGAACGACAGGATATGGCCGCGAGGCCTATTTATACATTCAGAAAGCTGACTAAGAATTAGCAGAAAACAGCAAAGGCACTATTCTAGCAACGGATTAGCGAGAAGTTGTTATCATATGCTGACACAGCGTCTGGTGCAACATTGTATAATAACTGCGTAGTTACTATGGCCATATAGCAACTCCCCCCTATTACAAAAAGTTGTTGCTATGCGACAACTTTTGACCAAAATTGAAAAATTTAAAAATGTCAAAAATAATGTCATAAGTATAAATTTGTAAAAATGTAAAAATTGTAAAATTGTAAACGTTGTAAAAATATAAAAATAGTAAAATTGCAAAATACAAATTACAAAAGTAAAATCAGAAAATACACATTCTGAAAAATAAAATTGTTAGCATAAATGCGGTACATTGGCGATGCAAAATAACATCTAAAAGCAAAGCTGGAACAAACAAATAATAAGATACAATCGTACAGTCGTACGGGCAAAATCACATAGAAGATAAAACGAAAATTGAAAATGATTTTTTTTTGAACAGTGAAAACACTTCACGGAACACTCACTGCAGTTCGATGTCTTCTTCATGTGGCTGGATGGTTGGTCTACGTCGAGGAAAAAGTCTGGGAATGTACCGGACTTTTGGTGCTCCTGGAGATGGGCCATCGGCTGGATAATTTGATGCGCAGATGCTGAGTGGTCTTCGTTTTCTGCACTTGCAGAACAGGTACAAAGCTACGATGATAACTAACAGGGTGATGATAAAATACGTGAACCATGAGAGATGTCTCGAAACAAACGGCTCGTTCATAATTTTGTCCAGTTGTTCAGAATATTGGTTTAATTTGTGATTGGCAATTTCGAGTTCTTCAGTATCGATCTTGCTTAGCTTGATCGGTTTTAATTTTGGTAAATTTTGTTTCTCTGGGAGATGTTCACAGCATTTGTAGGGTACTTCTACAGGGTGACTTTTGTATGTGATATTCTTGTAGGTGCTAACAGAATATCTAGAATGTAATCTCGTGGTGCCTACAAAGCCACTGCATTCGGGCTGCATTTTTAAAAGTGAATTAACTTTTATCACTTTGCTGGTAGTCTCTCGTTGTCCACACTTCATCGTAATTGGCAGAGGGCTAGATATAGTGATTAGCCAAAAATTGGTTGCAAGTTCTTGGATTTTGTAATCTTGCAATGCCACGATTGCTATTTGGCAGGCTGTCGGCAGATCGACCGGATTTCGCAACAACTGTGCTTCGCAGATTGCATTACTGTCTATTGGATACGGCAAGAGGTTGAAACAGATTTTCACCTGAGACTGAAGAACTTTGCAACTACCTAAATTTTGAAAGGAAACGTACAAAAGAGAATCGCTATCTTTAGCAATGTACCTCTGTATAGTGGAGACTACATGAAACAAACCAGTACGTTTATCGAGAGTGGGTAGAGGAATCACTCTGTATAAAGTATACATTTCGGGCTCTAATAACGGGATGCGTAGAACGAATACTACTCTTGTTTTAGTTTGATATGCTTCGAGTTCCATAAGATTAAGGTACTCTGACACTGTTGCTAAATTAACCGGAAGTGGTAAATTATTTCTCGACAAAGTGTGAGAAATTTCTTGAAGAGAATTTACTAAGTCTTGAGGAGTGATAATAGAAGGATGTATTATTTTTAAACGTGCAAAAGTAATTGAATTTAGAATATCATTAATTGTCTCTTCCAGAAACATGTAGCTTTCCATTAATTGTTCGCAAACTTCTAAAAATTGGAATTTAGCTTCACAAAATGCAAGATCGTCTGAAATTTCATAAATTTTGTTTTCAATGACCTTAATATCTTCATTAAACGTAGTTTCATCAATCATAAGTTTTTGAATAGTGTTATTAAAATTCTTGATAACCGACATGGTAACAGAAATTTGGTTCTTCATGAGGTTTTCGAGCTCATGTTCATCTTTAGAAATTTTGTTAATACAATCGTTATAGTATTCACCGTCCGATGAATCGAGGTTGCCGGTTATTGCTTTCCATACAGTACCTATAGCGTTAATCAGACCGCGTTTCATCCGCGATGCGCTTACAGTGTCATCGAAGATCGCGTAATATTTAGATTCCAAGGAACGAGAAATTTGATAAAGGAGACTTGTATGAGTTTTAATTTCACCACTAAACATTTTCATACGATTGGTGGGTTTGTCTACGAGATATGATAAGTGTTCCAGAATATTGTTGTTATCGTCAAGTGCTTTCTTAATGAGTTCTAAGTCTTTATATACAAGGAGTGTCCAAATTTCGTTGGAAATCTTAAGAGGGGCGTCTTCATGAAAATAGATACCTAAGCTGTTGTTAAGCGGTTTGATGTCTATCTGGGCTGTGACAGCCGCAAGAAACAGCAGACTGCACCTGAAAGAGAAACTAAGTCTCAAAACATGGTTTCAGTCTGTCAAAATTAACTTTACTTATTCTATTTGTTTCCGGGTTCTTAAGGAGCGCAGAATTTTCAAAAACTTGAGTAATTTCGAATGGACCATCAAATTTGTTCTGAAGTTTGTTTGAAATTTGAGACTGTTTCACAAAGACTTTATCGCTAACTTTATACGATTGTAAATTAGGTGACACTCTACTATCAAAGCGAATTTTTGCTTTTTTCTTCTGTTCGTCAGTTCTCACTCGGGCAATTTGGTAGTAATATTCGAGTTTATTCCGAATGTCTCGAACATACTTGGACATCAATTCTTTTTCTAAATATACGTGTTCGGGCGGACGACCAGAGGTGTGGCCAAACACGAGCTCGTATAGTGTAAAGCCAGTAGTTTTATTTCTAGTGCTATTGTAGCACTGAACAGCATAGGGAAGAATATTGAAGGGATGTTCGTCGGGATTTTCGGATACATGGGATCTGATCATTTCCAATAAGGTGGCGTGAAATCGCTCAATCGAGCCATTGGACTGGGGATGACTGACACTAGAAAAAGTTAATTTAATGTCATAAAGACTACAAAGGTCTTTCATGAGGGCGTTGTCAAATTCTTTTCCGTAATCACAGTGTATTCGGAGAGGTGTACCATAATGTTGGAAATATAAAAGTAGAGTATTTACTACAGATTTTGCAGATTTGTCGCTAATTGGATAGGCTTGAGAAAATTTTGTTAGCTCGTCTCGGATTGTGAGAGCGTAGCATTTAGGTGGGACTTCCAAAATGTCAATGTTGATTCTTTCGAACGGGGCTTTAGGGGTTTCAGTTACTACAAAAGGGGCACTGAGGTTTTTACGACAAATTTTGGTCTATTGACAAATTTCACACTTTTTGATGAAATGCTCAACGTCTTTAGTTAAGCCGGGCCCATTATATCGTTCACGAATTCGCCTAATTGTTTCATTAATTCCTCGATGAATGTTTTTCTTACCACAATGGTATTGATCTAAAATGACGGGGATTTCATCGGGACTAGGAGTTTTGGTGACGTTTTGGCAAACGACAAGTTTGATATTATCATCCGAAAAAATAAAAGAGAAAATTTCTAAAATGGGTAAGTCCAAATTATTTTCAACGTAGATTTGTTGGGATAGGTCGAATACACCTTTGTTGGTTAAAATTACAGAGAAAAGATGCTGTATGCAAGTTACGGGATCGTATGGCACAGGAATAATATAGTATTTTCTATCTTTAATTGTTATGCTAGACGCGATGTTAATTTTATCTGCAGAAAAATCAAGATTTTCCTCGAATATGTCTTCGATAATTTTTTCGTGAAGATCAGATAGAGTGTTTTGTCTGAAAAACGTGACGATATGTTTATGACTTTTGTCTAGGAGTTCGGAATTTGAAAATTGAATTTTGGAATAATCGATCAGGGATGTGGTTTTGTAAAGGCGGGCAAAGATATCAAATTCACTTTCGGAAAATTGGGTAGAAGGTTCTCCTTCTTCGTCACTATGGGTAAGGGCGTTAACAGTTTTGGATAATTTGATACGTGATAGGGCATCGGCATTTTTATTAGCCTTGCCTGGCTTGTACACTATTTCATAGTCGTACTCCTCTAGCTTGAGGCGCCATCTTGCTAATCTACTTCCGGTGTCTCGGCAAGAGAAAAGCCATGTAAGGGGTCTATGGTCTGTTACAAGTTTAAACTTTCGACCATACAAATAAGGTCTAAAATGTTTTACACTCCAGACAATAGCTAGAAGTTCTCTTTCAATGGTGGAATATCTCGTTTCTGCTTTACAAAGTGTACGAGATGCATAGGCTATCGGGAGATCTTTACCTATGGGACCTTGGGAAAGAACGCCAGATATCGCAAAAGCGCTTGCGTCTGTTGTAAGCACAAAAGGCTCTTCAAAGTTGGGGTAGATCAGTATAGGAGATGTTGTTAAAGCATTTTTTAAAGTATCAAATGACTTAACACACTCGCTATCAAAGTCAAATACTGCGTCTTTCTGTAATAGTCTGGTAAGGGGTTTCGCAATTTTGGCAAAGTTTGGTATAAAGCGTCGGTAGTAACCTGCAAGACCTAAGAAAGATTTTATTTCTTTAGGATTCTTGGGTTGAGGGAAATTTTTTATGCAATCCACTTTATCTGGATTGGGCTTAACGCCATCAGGGGTTATTACATGACCAAGATAGGCTACTTCCTTTCTGAGGAATTCGCACTTATCAGGCTGGATTTTGAAATTCGACTTCCGAAGACGCTTAAAAATTTCAGTAAGCCTACTGATGTGTTCTTGGATGGAGGGGGAATAGACAATTATGTCATCCATGTATACAAGACATCTTTCGTTTTGTATACCCATCAAGATGTTGTCCATGACACGTTGAAACGTGGCAGGAGCGTTCTTGAGACCAAAAGGCATCCTCAAGAATTGGTAATGTCCGTTTTCAACTGAAAATGCAGTTTTAGGAACATCAACTGGATTTATCTCGATTTGATGAAATCCAGATGCCAAGTCCAGTGTACTAAAGTACTGGCATTTCCCTAATTGATCAAGTAGATCGGAAATGTTTGGCAGGGGATATTTATCATCGATGGTGATTTCGTTAAGCTTACGATAGTCAATCACCATACGCCATTTCTGTTTACCAGAGGCGTCCATTTTCTTTGGTACAACCCACACCGCAGAATTCCATGGCGATGTGCTAGGTTCGATAATACCTTGTTTTAGTAATTTCGAAATTTGATCTTTGACTTCTTGCTTGTGGACATAAGGGTATCGGTAGGATTTGGTAAAAATTGGTTTACTGGTAGTGGTATCAATGGAATGCTTAATTTCGTTTGTAAATGACAGGCTATCACCATCTAAGTAGAATATGTCCGAAAAATCTAAGCAAAGATTCGTAATTAAATCTTTTTCCTCTTCGTTGAGATGATCGAGACGTAATTGATCTCTAATAACATCTCTACGGTTATACTGACTTTGATTTTGTAAAGAAGTGTTGAAATTATTGATAGAAGTTTCGTTAAAGGGCTCGAAAGTTAATTGGGGTAAAATTACATTTTTTGGAATGGGATTACAGTTTAATACTGTAGTAAGGAATTCGCCTTTAGAATCAATTTTAACTATGGAACTGGGTAGACGGACTTTTTCTACCTGACACGCCAGAAGAATGGCTTCAGTATTTCTAAGCTCGGATTTGAGCTTGACAACTTGTTCAACTCTGGGAGGAATGGAAATAACATTTTGAACTTGAGAATTTTCTTTAAATTGCGAAGCTTGGGACTTTTCTTTAAATTGAGAAGCTTTGGAATCATTTTCGTCACCTACTTTAAAAAGAGGGACTGTTTTGAAATTTGTAATCAATTGAGGATTTTTCAAATCAATAATACAATCATAATGTTCAAGAAAATCTGACCCAAGAAGGCCATCGAATGAAATATCTAGATCATGGACATAAATTTTGTGATAATCATTGGGAGCAAATGGGACTAAGACTGCTTCAGTAATACAAATTTTTTCGTCAGTAATACCTCCGATAGAGATATTTTCTGCGACACGATTAGTATAATTTTGACAAGTGTTACGTTTGAAAATGGAGCAACCTGCACCACTGTCAATGAGAATTTGGAATTTTCCAGTAGCATCTTTAATGTAATATAAGTTGTCTGGGCTAACGGGGTGAATTGTCGACGGGACTATAAACGGAGGGTTTATATGAACATCTGATCGCGTGTGTTGCTGACGCTCGCACACGGTTTCGCGTTCGCGTCCTCGACACTGAGATTCGCTAAGTTCGCACATACTATCGCGGTACTGTCGTTGGGTTCCGCAGGGGGTTTCTCTTTCAAACACTTGGTCCGAAAATCCTGGAATTGTTGTATGTCCGAATAAGCGTTGTCAACAAATGTATCGGCGGTTTGATTATATTCGTAACAATAATCGTTACTGGGTTCTCTAAAATCATCGTATGGGGAAGGTGTGTAGGCGGAGTACTGGGTATCGTCATATTCATTAGCGTAGTCCGTGTGGTATAGGTCTGGTTCACCGTAGTCGGAATAATCGTAAGAATCAGGGGCGACATAATTAATTCGATTGGGAGGATTTTGTCTAAAATTTCTTTGAAAATTAGGGTTTTGAAAATTTGGATTGCTCTGAATTACAGAGGGTCTTGGCGCACTCGAGTTAGGCACATTTGGTCGTATTACAGATGAAGGGTACAGGTCCAAAAGGGGGCAAGTCGTAATTTTACACAAATAGATCTAGTGGTGCCATCTTGTAGCAATTTTAACGTAGAAGTGGTCAGCGACTTGAACACGTCCTAAAAGCGCTTAGTGCCTGTGAAATTCTAATTCTTATTTACGCATACACCGCCAATAGGGGGCAAGTCCGCATCAGTCAGGTCCTAAAAGGGTAAAGTCCATATTGGACTTTACCCTTTTAGGGTAAGATCGGGAGTTGATAGATGTCGATCTAATACGCGCAGTTTAGAGTTAGATTAGTCGGAGTAGCTAGTGTTTTCAATGTTTTTCAAGTAATTTAAAAGTAAATAACAATGAATACTGAGAACAATAGTAGCGGAAATGAGAGTGAAGTAGTATCTAGACAGAATGAATCAAAAAAGAGGAAAAAGTACGGCAGAATGAGAGATGTCATGAAAAAGATTAGACTGCAGAGCCACGAGGTAGGTGCAAACTGTAACTGTCCTAAACAATGTTTTCAAAATGTACCTGAAGAAGCAAGAAAAACCATCTCAAGAATTTTAACGCAATGACTTCTATTAATGAGCAGAACTCCTACTTATGTGGATTGATTACGATACTCCTCATTCGCCGAAGAAGGCCTAGGAAAGATGAAGACGTAGCAAATTTGAGAAGTAGTGCATATTCTTACAGGGTACGTTTTAGAACTGATAATAGCTTACAGGAAATAAATATTTGTAGACAAGCTTTTAAGTCTGTTCATGGAATAAAGAAAAAAAAATAGAGATACTACAAAAGTCACTAAAAATGACTGGAGTCGCTCCAAAAGATAAAAGAGGAGAAAATAAAAACCATCCTAGGAAATTTGATGCTCAGGTTCTTGCAGCAATATACGAACATATAAAGTCATTTAAAGGCAGGAAAAGCCACTACAGTGTGAAGGATAGTAGAAAATTATACTTACCTGAAGACTTAAACATAAAAAAGATGTTCAAAATGTTTTGCGAGTTGAACCCTTCTATGAAAGTGTCTTACGAGTCGTACAGAACAGTCTTTAATACAAAATTCAACATAGCCTTTGGATATCCCAGGACCGATACATGTAGTTCTTGCGATGAGTTTCTTATAAAAATAAAATCTCTTCAGTCTGATGTTTTAAAGAGTATGGATATTGCTCAAAAAGAACGCTTTCAAAAGGAAATATGCCATATTACAATACAAAATGATGTACACAAAAGAAAAGCTGAGGTATTTTACAGTAGAAAAAGGGCTGCGAAGAAACGAAGCTATTTGTCTCGATTTTGGACAAAATCTCAGTGTCCCAAACATAACAACAAACGATGTTTACTATAAGAGCCAGCTGAATGTCTATGCCTTTAATATCCACATTCTATCTACAGCAAAAAGTGTGTTTTACATTTACCCGGAAACACTTGGCAAAAAGGGAAGCGACAATGCTGAATATGACTTTTTATGGAATTTTCTCGATTTACAAGTAAGATCGCTTGAAATATTCTGCGACTCGTGTGGACGGCAAAATAAAAATTACACGATGTTTCGTTTTTTGCATTATATTGTCCACAATACACATAGACTTGATTATGTTAAAGTTACTTTTCCTATTCGTGGGCATTCCTACATGGAACCGGACAATAATATGGGCTTAATAAACTCCCACCAAAGAGCCGAGATTCCTTCAGATTGGGTAGAAATTTTTAGACGTGCTCGTGGAAAACCATCACCATTTGACGTTGTGGAAATAGATCAATCCTACTTTCGAGCATGGACAAATTTTTTAATACCAAAACGGATTATTTGAAGAAATGTCCTTTCCGTTCCCGTCCTATTCGAGAATTAGAAATACATCAAGAACATCATAGACTAATATATTACCGGGAGTCCTATAATGGAGCATGGGAGTCAGCAATAGTGAAGGGAAAAGAGACTAAGCGAAAGGGACCTGTGCTATTGCAAAATGAATTTGTACTTCCTCCGTATTCTTATTCAGGTATAAAAGATACTTGTGTCTTGAAATACTAATTTTTTTAAACAACAAAATTATTTTTAGGTTTGATACCCATCACGGCTTAAAAATTTAAACACCTACAAGATTTAAAACGATTCTGTGGTGACGAAGCAAAACAATTTTTCGATAACCTGCCCAAGAACTAGAAGTATATTTTATATTAATAACTATTGTCTACTTTTCGGTATACCTTGTTTTTTTTGGACTTGGCCCCTTTAGGCCAACAATGTTTGATGGTTTGACCCAATTAATGCTTATGTTCTACTTTGTATAAATGACAATATAAGTTTAATTTCTTGTGTGTGTCTCAATAATTACCCAAATACAACTAATAATTAACAGAATTCATAATAACCATCAAGAATTTATCAATTACTAGTTTTAAAAGTTAAACTCTGTTTTGTACGAAATAAACATTTGGCGACTTAGCTCCTTATGGACCTGTACCCTTCAGATGGTCTGGGAGGATATTGATTAGAATTTGATGGTAGTTAGATGTAGATGGTCTAACTTGCATAGGTTGATTCGGCCTAGGGTAATTTTGAGGTTGGGGCTGGTTAAACTGTCTTTGGGCAAAACTTGTAGACTGTTGTCTCCGTTGGCATTCATTTGCTAAGTGACCGGGACGATTACAAAAATTACAAATTTTAGGTTTGGTCTTCGAATAACTGAATTTTGATTCGGGTTTGGGGTCCTGGCGAATTTTTGTCGTTCCAAATATGAAAGTTGAGTTGAGTCTAATCCTGTTAATAGACAATTTAATGTCATCGTTTCGATGAGGGAACTTTGAGCAGATTTTTGCTTGCGATTTAGATTTTGCCTATTCACGGCGGAATGCATTTTGGCTGCATGCGTTTGCAGTCTAGATGCAAAGGTTAGGGGTGATTCGTTGGGGAGTTGGCGCATGTGTTGAAGATCCGCGATTAAAGATGTGAGATCTCTAAGATCTCCAAAGTGGGTTTCTAACAGGGACCGTATGTCTTCCCACGTGGAAGGGTTTCGGCTGTTCACAAGTTCGGCGGCACGTCCGCGAAGTTTGTTTTTAATATGTAAAACGACGAGAAGCCGCTGCTCCTCGACGGCCATTTGATATGCCGTTCGGCACGCGTTGATGAAGGTCGATAGCAATATCGGGTTTCCATCGTACTCGGGTACAATCGAAAATATTTCAGATAATCTATAAGGTTCAATGTTCGCATGAACGTTATCAGGAATTTCAGCTGGTTGGTAATCATCTGAACCGTTAGTAGACATTTTAAATGGAAAGTTGTTTCAAAAAGATTCAATAATGTCAAGGGAAAATGCAAAAATATATAAATGTAAAATAGAAAAATACGTAAAAATGGGGAAAAATACGTGAAAATCGACAATATACGTATAGAGTAAATGCGCAAAAATGCAAATAAAAAGATGTAACAATCACGCACACAGAGATAAATCGCAAAAAATAGTTTGATTAAAATTGTACGTTACCAAGGGTACATCGGGAGGCAGTCGTGTTCTCCAGGCGGCTAGTGGATCTCTTGCGATGTTTCCAGTAGTCTGTCTGCAGTTGGGTGGCTGCTGCTCGCTGTGTCCCCTGTTGTTTTCTTTCTTCTTGTTGCTTTGTAGTTTCTTACTTGTAGTTTTATTACTTGTAGGTTTCTTTCTTCAATGGGTTTCTTTCTTCTTAAGGCTCGTTGGTCCTTTTCAGCTTAAAGGATAGGCATCCACCGCACCAGTTAGTATGCACGTGTTCTAATGCGTTGAAGCTATCCCACTTCTCTGACACCAATTTCTTAAATCATTAGATTTAGAAATAACTTTTTAAAAAATTTTATTTGAGGACTGAGGCTTCAGTCCATACAAAATACAAGGGTTTACAAATGTGACATTTACGGAGTCTAACCGGGTATTGAACAACAAAGTTTATATAAGTGACAGTTACGGTGCCTAGCCGGGTATTGAACGACAGGATATGGCCGCGAGGCCTATTTATACATTCAGAAAGCTGACTAAGAATTAGCAGAAAACAGCAAAGGCACTATTCTAGCAACGGATTAGCGAGAAGTTGTTATCATATGCTGACACAGCGTCTGGTGCAACATTGTATAATAACTGCGTAGTTACTATGGCCATATAACATATATATATATATATATATATATATATATATATATAGGTGCAAAATTAAAGCTTCCGCCTTTTGTTGGGTACTTCGACAAAATTTAAGCAAAGAGGACTCTTTATACTTTTTTAATTCTCTCTAGCTTTCAATGGACTTTGCCTTCATCATCAGAAGCTGCAATTACAATGATAACAGTAGCAACAATAGTGTAAAATGAATTTAAATTGACTTAACTTACAGTAGTATGTGAGGATGTTGCTAATTGTTGTTTACGTATAGGATGAGGGAAACGTCCAGTAACATGGTGAAAGCTGGATAGATGGTACAATGGTCAAAATTATATAAAATATGACAAGAACAAGTTAAAAACAGATTAAAAATTGTTTTAAAACCATGAAAGCATTACATCGTGAAGTCACTTGATGATTGCACAAAATGGTGGTCATGGAATAATGAGTGAGATGAACCCTTTGACAGAAGGCCGAAGGTTGTCAATGTCTGTGTAGAAAGATGGAACGAATTGTGGGCGTGTGCCACGTTGTCAAAATCACTTCAGATGGTGTGATTTTCAGAATGTTATGTAAGAAATTGTTAAACCGACCAGAGGCAGTTAAAGTAACTATATTTTAATTAATGGGAAATTAAATTAACAATTATTATTAAATCGTGAGAAGAAAATTATTAGAATTTGAGTGGAATGAAGTTTATTGGTGGAATCGACCAAGAAACAGATTCCATTTATGGTTGTGAAGAGTCAAAATTTGGGGAGATATGTAAGTTCTCCAATTTTTCGCAGTTTAGCAAATATGAGTAAATGACACTCAGTTGCTTAACATCTGTCTTTTTGTTGATACAGTTGTTATTCATGAAAATGTGGGACATTTCCAGGAATAAACGTTTCGAAAGGTGTTTTTCTTTATCAAGAACTTTGATACTTGTGTAATTCATAGAATGCCCTGTTGTGTTAACATGAGATGCTAGAGCGCATATTTCAGGTTGAAGCCTAGAATCACTTTTGTGTGATGTAATCCTTCCTTTAAGAGATCTGGAGGTCTGACCTATGTATATTTGGTTGCAGTTGTTGCAATTGATGGAGTAGACTGTGTTGGTTAAGCCAAGCAGCGGGACTCTGTCTTTCATTTTTGAAAAAATGCAGTTTATAGTGAGGACGGATTTGCAAGCAATTCGAAAGTTCAAAGGACTGCACAATCTGATCAGCTTAGGGGTCAGTTCCTTGATATATGGCAAGACAGCAAAACCAGGTCTGGAGTCCGGGTTGGTGCTTGTACTGTTTGAATTGATGCTATTGTTGAGAATTACATCAGTTCCGTTATTAGGGGTTGTGCGACTATTACCTGCATCATCAGAGTTCGACAAAATATTGGAAGGTGAACTAAATAAGATCTTGTTAATCAGACACTTCGGATAACCATTCTTTT